GTGGTATCTCATTCCAGGCAACCACCAACTCCTCTCGAAGTGCTTCTAGAGTCTGAGGAGGACGTTGCAAATTGAGCAATCTCCTACCCATCATATCCCATACGTGCTCAATTAGGGATAAGTCGGGAGATCTTGGTGGCCATGGTAACAATGTGACATCATTATGTTGAAAGAAGTCTATTGTGACTCTTGCAACATGTGGTCGGGCATTATCTTGATGGAAAGTTGGATCTGCCAGGGTGTCAAGATAGGGTAAAAGATGGGGTTCTAGAACTTCGTGGATATAACGCTGCGCGTTCATGTTACCTCTGATGAAGATTAAAGGTGACCTGGAACCATAAGCTATAGCACCCCAAACCATAACTCCAACAGTGTGATGAACATGTCTTTCAACAAAAAACTGTGGATTCCTCCTTTCACCACGTCGCCTTCTAACCCTTACACCGACGTAATCGCCTTGAGTGGTGCAGACAACGGTCACTCTGGGATCAGGAATGGAACAGTATTGTCTTTAGTGACGAGTCTCGATTTTGTTCAGGCATGCACGATGGTCGTGCCAGGGTTAGAAGGCGACGTGGTGAAAGGAGGAATCCACAGTTTTTTGTTGAAAGACATGTTCATCACACTGTTGGAGTTATGGTTTGGGGTGCTATAGCTTATGGTTCCAGGTCACCTTTAATCTTCATCAGAGGTAACATGAACGCGCAGCGTTATATCCACGAAGTTCTAGAACCCCATCTTTTACCCTATCTTGACACCCTGGCAGATCCAACTTTCCAACAAGATAATGCCCGACCACATGTTGCAAGAGTCACAATAGACTTCTTTCAACATAATGATGTCACATTGTTACCATGGCCACCAAGATCTCCCGACTTGTCCCCAATTGAGCACGTGTGGGATATGATGGGTAGGAGATTGCTCAATTTGCAACGTCCTCCTCAGACTCTAGAAGCACTTCGAGAGGAGTTGGTGGTTGCCTGGAATGAGATACCACAAGGAGGACATTGACCACCTGATCAGTAGCATGCCTAGGCGCGTTGGAGAATGCGTAGCACATCAGGGTGCATCCACACATTATTAAAGGTCAAAGGGCTTTAAAGCAGTGCAATCATTTTGAAATTTTTATCATTTACTTATTATGCTTCATTAAGTACTTATACAAAATTTTATTAAAATAAAACCATTTAAACTGGGTGTTCGGATTTATATGTCACTTAGTATATGATGGGTAGGAGATTGCTCAATTTGCATCGTCCTCCTCAGACTCTAGAAGCACTTCGAGAGGAGTTGGTGGTTGCCTGGAATGAGATACCACAGGAGGACATTGACCACCTGATCAGTAGCATGCCTAGGCGCGTTGGAGAATGCGTAGCACATCAGGGTGCATCCACACATTATTAAAGGTCAAAGGGCTTTAAAGCAGTGCAATCATTTTGAAATTTTTATCATTTACTTATTATGCTTCATTAAGTACTTATACAAAATTTTATTAACATAAAACCATTTAAAGTGGGTGTTCGGACTTATGTGTCACTTAGTATATCCTGTCTCATCAAATGTGGATTTTCTACACGCCACTCGTGTAATTTATGTACACTAGTTTACCTTGTCGATATTAATCGCAAACCATTCCAAAAGATAAATGTCATGTTTATGCAAAAAGGATGGGTTACGTTTTTTCTTCTAAAGAAATTCAAACATTTCGTACTTGTGAGTAATTCTCAATAAAAGATGATAGACCCATCCGCTTTGTTTTAAAATGTGTATAGTAACGTATGTTTTTCGAATATCGTAGCGCATTTGTTCGATTACTCACAAATACGAAATGTTTGAATTTGTTTAGAAGAAAAAAGGAAACTTTGTTTTGCGCTTAAAAATAACATTTATCTTTCGGAATGGTTTGTGATTCATATCGGCAAGGTAAACACGTGTATTTTGCTATTAAATGCTCTTTGAACGAACACTGTATATTGTTCGATAAACTAGTAGTGATGGCCGGACAGGTGTTTTGGGATAAACAATTGGAAATTCTCAAAAAACTACTTGACCAATATACTCCAATTTTATTGTTGTTATTTGGAAGTATGAATCCTGCGGATTTGAAGAATATCAAGTAGTTACGTGAAATTATCGTCGCATTACCAACAAGTGCCAAAACCTGCATTTTGCCTCGTTTTTCGGCCATAACATTTTTGCTATTAGTCGAATCTTTTCACTAGTGGTCTCATTTTGTAGGTTTCATTAATACCTAAAAATCTTATATAAAAAGTTTTTTCGTTCCTGTCAACACTTTCGATTGAATCCCAAAAAACACGTTTTCTCATTCTTTGTTGTCAATTAAAAAGTTTTCCCACAAAAATTGGTGTACCCATTTTATGCGTCCATGTTTTAGATACCCCCTTGAACAAGTTGCACCAATAAAACCAGACTTTAGAATTATTTTGGGGAAATTTGCTAATATGATTAGACTACTATTGTTGTTGCCTGAACACCCAATAGCTTTATACAGCATATTTGCGAGGTAGTCAAAATAGTTGTGTTGTGACATCCATGGTAACATTTATACAACAAACCTGAGTCTTGTTGTTTTGGTATGCAAAATTACTACTTTAGCCAACAAATTGTTCCCAATGGAAGCACTTATGCAACTGTCGTTTAGTAACAGTTTAAGGCTTCCCAACTAGCAAAGTAGTTGTATAAGCTTTTGGTAAAAGAACCGTTCAGCCATAAAAGCTCTCTATTGTTGCTGCCTGAACACCAAAATGCTGGCTTAATGTTGTGGAATGCAAATTTGCTTTCTGCAACATATTTGCTCTAAAGCAAGGTGTTTAAAATATTCTTATAGCATAGTTATACAACACCTTATAGGGCAAATTTTTGACCGTTGCATAAACATTTATACAACTATTTTATACGGCATATTTGCACGTTAGTCAAAATGGTTGTGTTGTGGCATCCATGGTAACGTTTATTAAACAAACCCGAGCCTTGTTGTTTTGCTGTGCAATTTACTACTTTAGCCAACAAATTGCTCCCAACGGAAGCACTTATACAACTGTTGTTTAGTAACTGTTAAAGGCTGTACATAAGTATGCTAAATATGTTGGTATACAACTTCACCATAACCTAACTTTCTGCTGTCATATCTTTGTTAAAATGCCATAACCAATGTTTTAAGACAAACAACGCATGTATATTGGTTCAAAATGTTTTATCAACTGTTCAAACAGAAGATATAGATCTGGTACAAATTCTGGGTGAATCATTCGACTCTGTCGGTATTTCATTTCAGACATTTGTCAAATTGTTGTATAACACCTGCAGGCAACACCAAAATATTCTAATAACCTAAAGACAACATGGACGATGCCATGATTATACACAACCACCCGCCATATTGGGCAAACATTTATTCCTCTATTTAATATTAAATAATTATGTTTCAGTTCGAAATTGCAGATATAAAGTGATAAACATTAGTGTAATTGTGTGTAAATATAGGATTTGTGGAAGATTTAACGCAGATAAGTTCAGTTTTCCATCTTAAAAATCTAGACATACTTTTGATCTGTGTACGAAATTGACAATGGCCGATATGTAAGTATACAAGATGACTAATGTGTTAGTTATGTATTCTTCTTCATCTATACAATACATAAGAAATAGTTTGGTTGCAATAAAGTAGAATCACGTAACAGAATAGTTGTATAGTTGACAAAAACTGAATCTTGCACTGACGCAAATGTCCTATAGCGGCTGCAAGAGGCTTACACTTTTGTTCTATAACTGTTACCAGCAGCCCTTATACAACCTCTTAAATGACTGAAGTGTCCTATTAGGTGTGCCCATTCCGCTTGTATAGCAGTTCTAAGAGGGTTTTGCTAATGTTCTTACAGTATACAATGCTGTTTAAGGAATACTGTATAATCATTCTTGCAACTCTATTAGGAGTGATCATTGTTAGTTGGGTTGTATGTACATCTGCAACAACCCAACTAACAATTATCACTCCTATTAGAGCTGCAAGAATGATTATACAGTATTCCTTACACTGCGTTGTATACTGTAAGAACATTGGCAAAACCCTCTTAGAACAGCTATATAAGCGGAATGGGTACACCTAATAGGACACTTCAGTTTAAGAGGTTGTATAAGGGCTGCGGTAACAGTTATACAACAAAAGTGCAAGCCTCTTGCAGCCGCTATAGGACATTTGTGTCAGTGCAAGATTCAGTTTTTGTCAACTATACAACTATTCTGTTACGTGAATCTACTTTATTTCAACCAAACTATTTCTTATGTATTGTATAGACGAAGTGAAGAATATATAACTAACACATTACAGTCATCTTGTTTACTTACATATCGGCGATTGTGAATTTCATACACAGGTATATGATAAAGTTCTACACTGTGATATAGGGCTATTGAATTACTTGCGCAGCAAATTTTATTGTGATTATCGTGCTGAATAAATACTTCTACTACTAATTCTATAAATAAAGAAATAAATGATGTAAAACCATGAATAACATAATAAAACAAGAAATATGCACTGCATAGTTTTTTTATTTGATAATCACAGACTAGTGCTACGATACAAAATAGGATATATATTTTTTCCAAAAAATATACAAGTTTTTTATTAAGTTGTTGACATAATCATCTTCGTACTTCACTAGTATAATATCTACATTTTTTGTTTCTTCAAAGTTGCTATCAGCAACACAAAAATAACATTTTTTCATACCAGTTGCATGCATCTGTAATTGAACATGTGCCTTACATTTCTCTGAAATAATTCCATTTTTAAATAATTGTTCTCAGCTTTTGCTTTGGTAGGGCATTTTATTTCAACAATGGCATCTTTCAATAAACCATCAAGAGATGCTGCAAGCATGGGATTGTCTTGGCATACATGAAAAGTCCACATGATTTTTTGTTCAATGTTGTACTAACTGTCTTCCGGACAGATAGCTCCAAACTTCTACCTCTTTTCATTGTAATAGTATCTGGTATTTTTGCGCGCCCATTATAGTAGCAACCAATGAACCATCAGGTGTATGACATACGCTCCCTTCATGTGCCTTTGAAGCTGTGATACGGCCATACCTCATCTCATACCACAAGCTGCTCTTGTACTGCATTCTTGTTGCTTCTTCAATTGCACTGATAGCAGCTCTGTTGAATGTTGTCTTCATTATGTCTACAAGATTGTCTACGTCTGCTTGAATTTTTGGTGGTTGGTTCATTATGAAACAGTGCAGCGAATACCGCATAACATTTGAGTGTTTAAAATCGTCCTGATATTTTATCAATTCACAGTGTTGAAGTTTTTTTTTTTTGCTTCCAAAATAAAGTCTGTGTAAAGTGCTGATGTACTTGGTCTGTGCGGTACTTCCTTTTTCGACATCTGCTGCACCGTGATGTACTTCAGAGTAGTCCCTAGTCTTGACAATGTTGGCTTTTTCCAATAACATTCCACCGAAGTAGATCACTGCGCCCATGTACCCACATCAAAAAAGCGACTGCAGGCTTGCAGCCTCCTGCTGAAGCAGCAAAGTCATGGCACTGACAACTTATTATCTCGCTTTCATTTTCGTTGATAACCATTTTTTTTTATATCGAAACAGCCGCGCAGGCAGAAGCCTAAATGCCGGAACACCGCGGCTGCTATGATGATCCCAAAGAAATTTTGTTAATACGATTTTTGAACTGCCTAAGGTTAGTAGAACTGGGAAAAGCTTCCTCTCGTAGATTGTTCCACAATCTAGACATCCTCGGGACAAAGGAGCGGTCGTATCGGCCAGTTCTGGATGTACGAAGTTTGACACGGTTAGGATGGGACGCGAAAGTTAGGCGGGTCTGTCTGGCAGGCACATCGCGCGACAGCATCACGGAAGAGAGCTCTGAGGAGCAAAGCCCGTTGGTGTAGCGATAGAAAAGAGCTAGATCGCCGACGGCCCGCCGGTGAGAAAGAGTCCCGAGACTGTCTGTTAGAGAAGAGTCATCGATCAGTCGGACCGCCCTCCTCTGGACAGCATCGAGCATGGACAATGTAGTCGGGGCGGCAGCACCCCAAATGTGTGAGCAATACTCGAGGCTAGGCCTTATCTGGGCCTTGTATAGAGTGAGAAGGTCATGCGGAGAAAAGTACTTCTTAGCCCTAAACAAATAGCCTAGCTTTTTCCCAGCAGCTGCAGCTATTGAAGAGATGTGTTCGTGCCAGATCAGGTCTTCGGTGATCTGGACTCCGAACAGCCGAAATGAATGGCTCTTTGACAGAACTCGGCCGTCCATCGAAACTGGATGAGCGCTAGGATGCTTTTTGTTCATCAAAGTACAGTGGTGTGTTTTGGAAGCATTGAACTGTACAAGATTGTTGCCTCCCCAAGCAGTGATAGCCTCCGGGTCTCTTGTCAGAGAAGAAGTCGTCGCTAGTCTTCTTTTTTCCAGCTCAGCGGCAGAGATCGGCTTGTCACTCTGAATTCCTGCATGTAGAGTGCTGTCATCAGCGAAGCTGTGGATTGGGTTGATTGTGCAGGAAAGGAGGTCGTTGATATGTAAGAGAAACAGTGTTGGAGCCAAGACCGATCCCTGGGGAACACCCGCGTTGACGTTGTGGGATGAAGAGGAGAATCCGTCAATTACGACGGATATCTTGCGGCCAGAGATAAAGTCAGCCACCCATCTGCAAAGCTTTTCTGGGAGGCCGTAGGATGGAAGTTTGCTCAAGAGGGCAGCGTGCCACAGCTGATCGAACGCTTTCGTGATGTCAAGAGCAACGACATGAGCCTCACCATGAGACTGGATGAGTTTACTCCACAGTTGCGTGACGTAAGCTAGGAGGTCCCCTGTGGATCGTTGGTGCCGGAAACCGTACTGCCTGTCGCTAATCAAGCTGTGACGTTCGAGGTAGTCCAGAAGCTCGCGATTTATGCACCTCTCCATCACTTTACTTATAACAGAAAGTAGAGCTATAGGCCTGTAGTTATAAGGGTCGGTTTTAGATCCTTTTTTTGGGATGGGCTGTACATGAGCAAATTTCCAGTTTTCTGGGAAGGTGCCGGATTCATAAGATATCTGGAAGAGACGCGAAAGAACTGGAGCAAGCTCAGCTGCACATCTCTTCAGTACAGTGGCAGGAATCAAGTCCGGACCAGAAGCTTTGTTGATGTCGAGCGACAAGAGCACTCGTCTTACGGTCTTATGCCTGAATGTTACCTCCCGCATAGTGTGGGGAACCCTTTGAATTGGCGGCACTTGGGCGTTGGTGGGGACGTCCATGGTGGAGTTGGCAGCAAAGATCTTGGCTAGCACTTCCGCCTTGGCCTTTGAGTCGAATACAATAGTTCCATCCTGACACATAAGTGGTGGAAGACCACTGTGTGAGAAGTTCTTTTCAATCTGCTTGGCCAGCGTCCAGAAAGACCGACTGCCATTGCGCTGCGACATTACCCTGTGCCTAACTTTTATATCATGCTGGGTTTTGGCATTGCGAACCGCTTCGTTATATTTGTTTCTGGACTCGACGTCGGCTTGTCTGTTCTCTACAGTGGGGTTTTGTAAGTAGGTTCTGTGGGCCTTGATCTTCTGCTGGCGAGCAGTGTCACACGATTTGTTGAACCAGCCGTTGGACCCTGGTTTAGGAACTTTCACTGTGTGAGGGATGTATTCCTCCATTCCGACGTGGATAATTTCGGTTATTGAAGAACAGACAGTCGACGCATCCGCGTCAGTGAAACAGACATCTCTCCAAGGAAAGCTAGAGAAGAAGTCTCTGAGCCCCTCCCAGTCGGCATGTCCGTAATGCCAAGTTTTGCGGCCTGTGCGAGTTTCTGCTGCCACAGCGGCTTCTGACCGAAACCTAACCTCCACAACACCGTGATCTGAGTTACCCAGGGGGGACAGGACAGCAGTGCTGTAAGGGGCAGGATGCGTGGTCAGAAAGAGATCCAGCAGGCTACTGGCGTGTGACGAGACGCGGGGGAAAAAGTAGGGCTCGTCACCAGCTGGGTCAGCCCTTGAGTAAGAGCGAACGCTTCGACTGCACGACCTGCTGCATCGGTCTTATTTGAACCCAACCAAAGCTCATTATGGGCATTGAAATCACCGAGAAGAACTACCTCTGAAGCGGGGTGATTGGTGTTCAGGAAGTCGATCTAGACGGCGAGGTATTCGAGTAGGTCATCCCAGTTATGGTCCGAGGAAGAGCGATAAAGGCAGCAAATAAATTTGGGTGATGTTTTGGAGTTGAGGCGAAGCCACAGAATGTCCTTCCGGTCGGATTCCAAACAAACATCTCTGGAGCAGGAAAGACTGCTGCGGACAAAAGCCATAACTCCCCGTTCTTTCTCAGATTGGAGTGCACCTCGTAGTTTGTGAATGGATAGTTAATCGGTGCAGACTCTGAGATTTTTGTCTCCGCCAAGAAAAGCACGGCGGGGCGATTGGATTGCAGGTAGTGATGGACAGCATCAATGTTGCTGTTGATCCCACAGATGTTCGAAAAACAAATTTTATCTTCGATGTTGTTCCCTCGAGCCCACCCTCCACCCGGACATTCCGAGAGTGGAGTGAGTTTACGTCCGGAGTTTTTAGTGCTCGAGGGATCCATCATCATTAGTTTCTTTGTTTTGGTAGATAACCGACTGCATAGCTTAGGTGTGGAAACATGCGGACATTTATAAGACACCCTGGGAAAAGCTAGCGGGTGGTACTGCCTCGGTCGACTGGTCCTTGTCTACCACCTTCTTTTTACGTGTTAGTGATGTTAAATAGACCTAAAGTGGCCCGTTGGCGGACTTGTACCGCCACCCGGCAATCAGTACTGAGGTATACCTTAACGCGTGCACAATCACTTGGACGGGAAGAAGTTGTATACTGGATACAACAACTTCCGGAACAAGCATTTGCCACGGCCCTCGCTCAGTAGGGGTTGTCACATTATAAGCTTTTGATCTCACTTTGTGCTCTGGGCACATTTTGCACTTAAGTGAGCAAAGTCCATGCTCCCGGGGCAGCTGCACATAGCCAATTGCATCGTCTCCGTAGGACTCCCTTCCAGACCTGTAAAACAAAAGCAAAACATGAAAGTGTGTTTTATTCATGAAACCATATATGAACCATATTATCATATTGAACTGAAAGCTTTTTTCATTACATCAACATAACCTAAAATAAGATTGATTTTACAAATCTTTTAATGATCATACATAAAGGTTAGTAGGTATAAATAAATAATTTCTATTACTACTTACATTGTTGTTTTCACATGTTTGAGTTCCGCAGCATAGTAGTCCGCATTATTTTTGAAGAAAAATGCTACCATTAATGCGTCAACCTTAGGTAGATTGCTGTTATCAGCTTGCACAAAATTTAGGTCCATTTTGAAGTCCACAACGAATAATGATGCCAATAGTTGAAAGATTGATCAAGAAAGTAATAAAAATCTGTTTACGAAATAGAATTATGATAGAATATCTCACAGAAAGCCAGCAAAAACGTACAACGCGATGTTTGTTTACTTGCATGTGAAGTCACCAGAGTCGCAGCCAATCGCAGGGCGTTTCTGTGACCCATCGAATTTTTAAAAATAGCTGATTTTTATTTGATTATTTCCCAAAAAATATACATATTTAGGTGTACATTAAAGTACTATGTGTTTTCTTATTCTATTATCTAATAGGATTACCATAATTCGCAACTTATTTTCAATACTGTCAAATAGCCTATTGTGTCCTTTGCCGATATGGGGAATTTTGAAATATTACTTGATAATCAGCTGTCATTCTACTGTGATGGATACTCGTGGAATACAGTATATAGTCCTTTTCACGAGTATCCAGTAGGTAGAATGACAGCTGATTATCTAGGATTATTTCATAATTCTCTATATCGGCAAAGGACACATAATTCTAACGGATCCGTCAATCCCAGGTGGACAGAGCCGTTTTGTTTTGATTTTTGTACGCTACAGATTCTTTTTGTACTTGTTAAAAACTCTTCTACTATTCGTCATTGTCTGTCAGAGCGGTCCGTAGGACCTTTGCTCTTGGTTGAAGTCTTGTAAGTCAGTAGGTCTGTCAGGTCTGGTTGCCCAGATACCAAACAAAGTCAGGGAGAAAGAAGGGAAGACGAAAGGAAGGAAGGAGGGAGGGAGATCAAAGAAAAAAGAAGTGCATCAATTTGAGGGGTGCCTTGGCATTGCTAGTTAGTATTCGGCAATTTTAAATTGATCCTAAAATTAATTTTGATAGACTGTGTAGTCTGCTGACTCGCGCTTGTTGTTTGATGTAGTACCTTAGGTAAGGGATTTCAAGGTCTATGTGAAGTGTCTCGTTGGAAACATACCATGGGGCGTTAGTGATTGTACGCAAGGTTATGTTCTGCAAAACCTGCAGGCCACGCAAATGCGTTTTGGCGAGAAAACACCAAGCCGCACTTGCGTAAGTGATCGGTGGTCTAATAACCATCTTGTATAGCCGAACTTTGTTGATCAAACTTCATTTTGATGTTCTATATAGCATAGGGTAGAGCTGCCGAAACGAGATTTTTAATTTAGTTTTTAACGCTTCAGTGTGCTTCTGCCAGGTTATCCCCTTGTCAAGAGTGACACCGAGATACTTAGCAGAGCTTTCCCATGGTATCCGAGCTCCATTCGCTGAAATCTCAGACGGGGCGCCGCTACGTTTTTTAGTACAATAGATTGCCTGCGTTTTCGAATGAATTAATTCCAATACCTCGTCCACTGCACTTTGCAGCCTGTCGTGAACTAGATCCCCAGAGCACGACTGGGCCACCAGGGCAGTGTCATCAGCATAGAGATAGGTTTCACAGCTGCTGGGGCAAGGGACGTCATGAATAAAAAGTGAATAAAGGACTGGTCCAAGAACCGAACCCTGAGGGACACCGGCTTTGATGGGCCATGTTGTCGACAGAACGTTATTAATTTTGATCCGAAATTTCCTACCCTCGAGAAAGTATTTCAAAAGTTTTAGGAGCCAGAAGGGGAAGCCCTTATGGATCAATTTGTAGAGAAGGGCCTTGTGCCACACCTTGTCAAATGCCTTTGAGACATCCAGTAGCAAGATGCCAGTACTTTCGTTACGGGTGAACCCCCTGGTTACTCGTTCAACAAGCCTTATGGCCTGTAGCTCCGTACTATGCTCAGACCGAAAGCCAAATTGCACGTCAGGAATCACATTGTGGTCTTCCGAGAAATGTTCAAGGTGACGTAGAATCACCTTTTCAGCGAGCTTAGAAGGAGCTGACAGTATACTAATGGGGCGGTAATCCTGGGGGAATATCGAACCCACCTTCTTTGGAATCATTATGACATCAGCGGTCTTCCACGCCGTTGGGAAGTGCTGGGTCCTTAGCATGGCATTGATTATTGCCACGAGATAAGTTAAGGACGTCCGCGAAAGTAGCTTCAGCGCCTTATTAGTGATTCGATCCTCTCCAGGTGCTTTACACACCTTGAGGTCTTTAATATGACCTTGGAGCTCTGCTGGTGTGCAATGCAGAGTCTCAGGAGATTCCGCTGATGTGCCGTGCAGCTCTTCAAAGGAAAAATTACTAAGGGAGGCACTACTGCCACTAACGCCGTTGGCCCTAAAATATCTTCTGACGGATCTTACAATATGTTGCTCCTCGTCGAGGTCATTATCAAGGTCATAGTTGGGAGAGAACTGACTTTCCATTGCATCAGCGAAAACCTCGACCTTTTCCTCTGTCCTACAGACTATGCCCCTAGGACCGTGGATGTGCGGGAGTGCGACTTTGCAACTTTCCAGAGAGGAATACTTGACACGGAATTCATGAAGAGCATTTCTCACTTCATGAACAAGATTCGTTGCCCTGTGAATGTCATCTGGGTGACAAGACCTCTTCGCTTGCTTAATTGCAGCTCTTTTGTCAGAAATTTTCTGACGAATGTCTGCAGGGAGAAAAGGTCTGCCGTGTCGTCGTACTGAACGGAACTTGTCCACTCCGCTTGAGCAGCATCTATATCGTTCTCATCATCTATGATCGGGATATTGGGGAACTCTCTAAGGAGCGACTTGTATAGCTCCCAATCAACCCTTTTCCTTGGAAGAGTTTCCCCTTCCAAGGTTTGCTCATTACCCACTTCCAGTACGATAGGAAGATGATCGCTCGAAATGTCATACATGATTCGAGAAGTGACACTGAATCTACAGTTTCTAGATATCGCGAAGTCAATGACATCTGGTGCCTGAAGGTGATTAAATGGGTGGTGAGTCGGCTCCTCAGTGCTGTGTATGAGGTAGCCGTTTCGTATCACATGGTTTTAAAGTCGAATCCCACTGGTGGAATTTAACCTAGAGTGCCATGCTCGATGTTTACAGAAAGTCCCCTGCTACAATAAGCGGACCCGAGCAGTCAAACAGGACTTCCAGATCCGTCTCTTGCAGCCTGGCACCACATCTGACATAAACCGATGTGATTTTCAACGAGATACCTCCCGTCATATTCAATACCACGGAAGTTGCCTCGATGCTCTGCATCTCCGCGTTTGTGCTTCTGTAATAGTCAATACCACGTTTTACTAGCACTGCCAAACCGCCACCCCGTCCAGTTAATCTAGGATAACATCATAATTCGGGAAAGCTAGACGATCTCCCGGATTAAGCAAGGTTTCTGCAGCAGAGCTACATCTACATTCTCATCCAAAATAACTTGATGAAATTCCCGTTTTTTTGGGACATCCCTAAGACCCAAACAATTCCAGAAAAGAATTTTGATGAATTCAGGCTGTCTGCTATTGTACCTAGCCATTTAGCGGAAAGATCGCCTGCAATGCCTTAGTGGCGCTTGTCAGGGGACTAATAATCTGCTGTAGTGATCTGAGCGCTGTTGCTAGGTCCACATTTTGAGTAGTCGTAGATAAAGCTCGAAACAGAAGGGGCAGTTGAGGTGTCACCTCTTGCTGCGTCCGCGTAGGGCTTTACTCGCCTTTGTGCGATGACTTGTAGATTTCTCATAGGAGTAAATCTACAGGTGGACTATTTGCCGAATGGTCCCCCCACAGTTCGCACGTCTGCGAACCTCTTGTCCTGTTTGAGGGCACATATGTGTCATGTGGTCTTGGGCACATTTTAGACACTTTGGCGGCGCAGTGCAATACGACTGTGCGTGTCCATACTTCTGGCAGCGGTGACACTGCCCAATGAGTCGAGAGTTCTTCTGAACTTCGACCCTGATAGAGAGCCCCAGCAATTCGTGCTCGTTGATCACTTGCTGTGACTTCTCCGTCTTAGGCAGGATCACCACCATCAAGGGCATGGGCAAAAGACGGATTCTCCTGCGATAATCGTCTTCGGTTTTGGGGATGATACGTATCCCAGCGTCAACGGCGACTGCTCGTTCAATACGAATACCAAGACTTACAAAGGAATAGTTTAAGGTGCGCCATTTTGTCGCATCTCTCAACCCGATTGGAGTAATACGCACCTGGCGAGGCGATTGGGCCTGTGTGTTTATAGATCCGCTGGATGGCAAGGAAGATGAGTTGCAGCCAGCCAATGGATCAGACTGCACTTGGGGTATAACAGGACGAGCATCTGTGTGGATGCTGATAAAGGTCTTTCCCTTGGCTGACTAGTAGAAGCGGTAGAGGGTACAGACACAGACGGTTTTAGGTTGCCTGAATGTTTGTTAATTGGGGATTTCGTCGGTAGCGGAGGAAATTCTGTTTTGCGCAGTCTCACTTTGCGACGTCGCACAGGTGTGAAAAGATCACCCTGTGTATCCTCATCGGTCGCAGTATGTAGGTCACTCGACTGGGTGTTATGTCTACGTTTTGCTGTTTTGGAAGAATTTGCATCAAATTGTGCTTGCTTTTGAGTTATATCATGTTTTATCAGCCTGAAGTTTCCTAGAATTTAAAAAGAAAACATATCTTCACAATAGGAGAGCGCTGACGCTGACACGGGACAAGTGTTATCTAGAAATTTTTGAAGGAGAGAAAGGAGTATGACAATCAAGGAGGCCATAAACGCGCCCTACAATTGTAGGGACGACTGACGATATGGGCCTAAATTATTCGATTCTGTCCAAATTTCATTTCAAAGATTTGTCAAATTACTGTATAACACCTGCAGATAATACCAAAATATTCTAATAAATCAAGACAATAAGGAAGGCTGCCATGATTATAAATAACCATCCGCCATATTGGGTAAAAAATATATTCCTTTATTGAAAATCAAATAATTCCGTTTCAGTCCGACATTACAGATATAAAATGATAAACATTAATATAATTGTGTCTAAATATAGGATTTGTGGAAGATTTCGCAGATAAGTTCAGATTTTCATCTTAAAAATGTTTTTAATCATTATGAAATCTTCGACGAAACAAAA